CCTTTCCTTTTTTTCAAATAATGTGAAATTTCTGAAAAAATTTTTGTTGCCCGAAGATAGCTAGAAAGATTTGCCTGTTGATGCTGATCAAGAATATATATGATTTATAGGGTCGGAAATGACTCCTTCACTTTCTTTTAAGCTTCCGACTGAAGGTGCAATACCGTTTTTCAATGGATATTAACTGTATTGTTATATGCAAATTTTTTCAACAAATCAACATTTAAAAAACGCATAAGAAAGCCAAAACATCATTAATTTCAATTCGGAAAGCGCTCGTATGTTCATTTTTAGCAGACTAATCAAACTGCATACTCCATTTAAAATGTGAATTTTTTGCCGATTTTTGCAAATTTTAATGATGTAACCCCTTTCCTTTTTTTCAAATAATGGGAAATTTCTGAAAAAAATTTTTGTTGCCCGAAGATAGCTAGAAAGATTCGCCTGTTGAGGCTGATCAAGAATATATATGATTTATAGGGTCGGAAATGACTCCTTCACTTTCTTTTAAGCTTCCGACTGAAGGTGTAATACCGTTTTTCAATGGATATTAACTATATTGTTATATGCAAATTTTTTCAACAAATCAAAATTTAAAAAACTCATAACTAAGCCAAAACATAATTAATTTCAATTCTGAAAGCGCTCGTATGTTCATTTTTAGCAGACTTATCAAACTGCATACTCCATTTAAAATGTGAATTTGTGGCCGATTTTTGCAAATTTTAATGATGTAACCCCTTTCCTTTTTTTCAAATAATAAAAACTCATAACTAAGCCAAACATAATTAATTTCAATTCGGATAGCGCTCGTATGTTCATTTTTAGCAGACTAATCAAACTGCATACTCCATTTAAAATGTGAATTTGTGGCCGATTTTTGCAAATTTTAATGATGTAACCCCTTTCCTTTTTTTCAAATAATGGAAAATTTCTAAAAAAAATTTTTTGTTGCCCGGAGATAGCTAGAAAGATTCGCCTGTTGATGCTGATCAAGAATATATATGATTTATAGGGTCGGAAATGACTCCTTCACTTTCTTTTAAGCTTCCGACTGAAGGTGCAATACCGTTTTTCAATGGATATTAACTATATTGTTATATGCAAATTTTTTCAACAAATCAACATTTAAAAAACGCATAAGTAAGCCAAAACATCATTAATTTCAATTCGGAAAGCGCTCGTATGTTCATTTTTAGCAGACTAATCAAACTGCATACTCCATTTAAAATGTGAATTTGTGGCCGATTTTTGCAAATTTTAATGATGTAACCCCTTTCCTTTTTTCAAATAATTGAAAATTTCTAAAAAAATTTTTTGTTGCCCGGAGATAGCAAGAAAGATTCGCCTGTTGATGCTGATCAAGAATATATATGATTTATAGGGTCGGAAATGACTCCTTCACTTTCTTTTAAGCTTCCGACTGAAGGTGCAATACCGTTTTTCAATGGATATTAACTATATTCTTATATGCAAATTTTTTCAACAAATCAACATTTAAAAAACGCATAAGTAAGCCAAAACATCATTAATTTCAATTCGGAAAGCGCTCGTATGTTCATTTTTAGCAGATTAATCAATCTGCATTCATTTAAAATGTGAATTTTTGGCCGATTTTTGCAAATTTTAATGCCTTTTCTTTTTTTCAAATAATGGGAAATTTCTGAAAAATTTTTTGTAGCCCGGAGATAGCTAGAAAATTCACCTGTTGATGCTGATCAAGAATATATATGATTTATGGGGTCGGAATGTATCCTTCACTGCGATTAAAGCTTCTGACTAATGTTATAATACCCTGCAATGGTATAATTGATGTTCTGACATTTACATTTTTATTGATAAATATTTAGTTCTTTCTTTAGATAAAGAAATATTTTTCTCGATTAATAAATCATTATTACAAATTATTACTTAATTTTTCGTAATATGTAATGTATAGTTTATTAAAATTACGCATACGTAATACGTATACATAATATTTTTTAATTTTTTTATGCTAACCCAAAAAGGCATTAATGTCTTTAAGAAAAAAAGGCCAAGCAGCCATCACTTTTAAGTCGATTTTCGTTGTCGAAGCATGTCCAATGAAGCATGCTGAGGCATCTAAAGCCATGGCCACCAGTCCCGACATAATTGCTCCATTCAACTTTACTGCCAATGAGTTGTTATGAGTTGTTTGACCAGCAACCAAAGCACAGCAGCTCAAATGAAGCGAAGGACTCTCGCATTGCCGGCCCGGCCAGGAACTCGCATCCTGCGAGCTGCTGAGTTGCAGTTGTATTTACAGGACGTGCACGCAGACACGCACGCCTACGCAAAGGCATTTTGCGGGCCATTTGTAGCGCGTGCATTGGCGGCCAAAAGGGATTGGGTAGTGGGAGGTGGGTGGTAGGAGGTGGTAGGAGGTGGTAGGAGGTGGTAGGAGGTGGAGGGAGGTGGGAGTGGACCGGGCCCTGGGCGAAGGGACTGAAGGATTGAGGGACTGCAAATGCATTTTGCAACCGCAACCAGCAACGGAACGGAACGGAAACGGCCCCTAGGAGCAGCAGGAACATGGAGATGGTTACGTGAGGGAAATCGCATTGGAGAAAATGCATCATTAACAAGAAAGGAATGTTGGCCTCGGGGACCGAAGCAATAAATACCCTCACTGAACCAATGTAATTTGATTTTGCGAAAGAAATAAGAGATTAAAGGACTAAATTAGGGATTCTTAAATGTAAGCTTTATACTTGCAAATTTTAAGCTTTCTTAAAAGGTTCCAAGTAAAGTATAAAGTATAATATCTGGCTCGTCATTTTCTAAAAAAAAATTGAGGTGGAAAATAACACTAAAAGCCAAAATTGTCAACCTGTGAATACATTTTATAGTTAAGTATATTTTAGCTTTTAATATTTTTAAGGCTATTATTTGACACTAAAATGCGGTTTTATTTGAATCATCCTGAGGTGAAGATTTTCTTTTTAAGATAAAAACCATTACTCTGTCATATACACTGCTTTAAAGCTTGAAGATTATGTAGCTTAAAACTGAATTACTTTTTAGCCGTGGCAGGACTTTTCCGTATTGGTATCTGTGGGAAATGCATTGAGTTACACGATGCCCAAGCAGAGGACATGTACTCCCTGAGAGGTCCACAGGATTGAGCAAACACCATGAAGCGAATCGAATGGGCTGCAACCGCCAACGATCCAAAACGAATAATGTTCATCTGTTTCGAACTGATATTAGATGCTTACCAATATTGCTGGCCATCACGAACGCATCGCTGAGATGCTGTGATGATGATGGTGCTCCTCTGGTGCTCTCCTCCTCTGATAGTATGTGCGGCGCCTAATCTTTGACCGTGTTTTGGGTCGCAGTTGCATCTGCACACTTGTGACGTTGCAGTGGCATTAGTGGAGTTGATGCGGCTTAGGCGGCGGCTTCCTGTGTATCCTGGCCATCCTGCGCATCCTGGCCATTGTGCCATCGGCTATGTCAATCCTGCCTCCGCTCATTTGCTGTAAACGACTGCTGCGGACGCTTTGCTGTTTTTGCGGTTCCTGTTTGCCAATCCTGAAACGGTGACGTCGTAGTTAGAGGTTCTTCGGTGTTGGTCCTGCTGTCGCTGCTGCATTTAAGCGTTACGCACTTCCTGCTGGGAATGTTATTACTTCCGTTGCCATTTAATTGATTTTGAAGGTGCGTATTTGGCGGTAGGAGCGGCCCTCAGGGAGCATGGCTTCCGCCATGGGCCATTAGTAAATTGTAGGTTAAGTGCTCTGCAAAGCCCGAGTCCAAGCCCAGGCCCAAATCCGTTCCAAACGCATTTTTAGACGCTTTATCTGGGAAATTGGAACTGAAGACTGAAGACTAAAGACTGGGAACCTGGAACCTGGATGGAGCCTGCGGTTGAAGCGTCTCCCACCGCACTTTCGCTGTGCCGTGCGGTTTTTGGGCACTTTTTCGAGGTCCTTTTGCTGCCGTGACGTCAGCGCTATCCATGCGTAAAAGTTATTAGTGAAATGCACTCACCTGTGCAGGAACAGGATGGGGAGTTGAGAAGATGAGGAGCAGGAAACTGCAGATGTTTGTTGGCCACGAAAACCTCAAACAGCACTTAAGTTGTTGCCAGCTGGAAGGTTTTTGGTTTTCGGCTTTCGGTTTTAGGTTTCAGGTTTTCGGCTTTCCATTTGCTTTGCTTTTACTCAGCCCAAGCAGGTTGCAGTAAGTTTCCCGGTGGATTTTCAGGCATGCCGTGGAGATGGCCCTAATAGGCTTACCTTGGGAATGCATTTTAGTCAGCTTTCACCACTTTTACCCGGCGGGTAATCCAGCTGCTGACGAAGGGAATTTATATTCGCCACTATGCAATTCCACATCGTTTGCCACAGACTGCTGAGTAATTGCCAGCGAGTTAATAATTTCAGTCATCAGCAGATCGAGACACTTCTCTGCCACACAAACACACAATGCGATTGATTCCAGACTCACGCGAAGGCTCATCCCCGGGAGTCATGAACCAACCCACACACATAAAGCCAGACACCGACCCATTTATCCACATAACCAAAAACTATTAACCATTTTAGTAACAATGCGCTGCATTTCGAACTGCATTTGAAAATGTGAAACATGTTCCCGCTAATTGACTTCGAACCGCAGCATCCGCGATTGTTTCCACATTAGCTATGATTTCTTTTGCCCAGAAATTGTCAGGAGTGGAGCAGGAGGGGATGCCGGATGCGGGTTGCTGGATGATAAGTGAGCTGCTATTAGTGTGTCAATTAGCGGGCTTTTGCTGCATGTGATCCAGTTCACTTGGCCTGGGCCTGGGCATGGGTTCGAGTTGGAGCCAAAATGGGCATATGGAACATGGCATGTGGCTGCCCCGGGGGCGTGAGAATTAATGCATGACTGGCACTGCAAGAGAATCTGTTTCAAGTACTCGCGGAAACCGAAAGTGGAGTGCTAATTAGCATGACTAACCGACGCTTTCATTTATGGTCTTTTTTCAGGGAAATTTGGACCACAGTACTGCCGCCCGAAACCAAGGATGTCTACACCGCCATCCTGGGCGTCACCAAGGCGAGTCGGATCGATGAAGGCGTCTACAGCTGCAAGGTGAGATTACTTACAAGTGTTTAAGCTTTAAGATATCTTTGTTCTAATCTTATTTTATTTAGTTGTTATTTTGTGGCTATTTATATTGCATTTAAATATATACCAACTTTGAGGGTTTTCATGCTAATCGTATCTGATGAACTGGTTATTCCTCTTAGGCCTTTGGTTTTTCTAATGAATCCCCCGGTTCCTCCGAGGCCTGCCCAGACGCCCGTAATATTTTCAGCTGACTAATCAGTCTAATTGCCATATCATAGCAGCGCAGAGCAGAGAATTCCGGGTGATTCCAACTTGGAAACTGGCGGATCTGTCTGGGCGAAAAAAACCTCACTCTTCTCCCTTACCGATGGCCACATAATTAAATTTGGCTTTGCTGCGTTCTGTTCTCGGCTCTGTTCTTCATTTTCGCTATAACGTTGATTTTAATTAGACTAATTAAAATATGGTAGACCGGCCCAGATAGAAAGGAGTGATGGGGCAGCCGGGAAAGTGGAATGTGGGCTTCCATCGCACTTGAATGGTCATTCTCAGGGGCCAATTAAATTTTAATCTATGGCATTAAACATTCTTTTGACTGCGACTTTCGGGGGGGATGAATTTACGGATGCCGAAAGATGATGCTAAGCCCGGCCAAGTCCTCGCCGATTTAGAGGGCCGCACTAAATAAGAGTTTTAAATTGTTCCAGACCATTAGGCCCCAAACTGGACACATTCCCATCCCGGCCCGTCCCAGCGGTGGATCCCTTCTTTATGGCTTAGGTAATAACATATTACGCAAATGGCTTGTAAAAAATATTGGCCAACAAAAAGGAGACCCGGCCAATTCGTGCACGTGAAAAGGAAAAGTTTCCTGGCACAAGGAAAAGTTGGCCCCCGCCAAGCACGTGGACACATGAGCAAGGTACTCGGCGCTGTCCCGGGGATGGAATGTTAGTTGTAAATCAAAAGGTAATTCGATTGTCCCGCACGGTAGGAGATCGTAATAAAATGTTTACGTTTGCGTTGCGTATAAATCAAATCAGGAATTGTTGCAAACTCAATTGAACTTTGGCATTAGCATAATGGTTCCTTTGGAGTTGTTACCTAGATTAAAGCCAGATGCGAATCCAACTTTAATCCGACTGTTGCACCAACCGAGGACGACGACGACGACGGTCCATTGTATTTAGTGCTTCGTCCAAGGCTCTCCGAGGGGATTTTTGTCAAGTTTTTTATGCTGGCAAGTCGGGCCTTTGGTAGAGTTTTTTTATTTTCCTTCAGCTGCCTTTGCCGCCTTTGTGCCTTTGGAGCGCCGCGTGCCGGCAGCTCACTTATTATTGTCGCTGTTCCTGGTCCCTCGTAATGACGCTCGGCCAGATCAAAGGCAGGAAGCCCGGAAGGAGGAGCAGCCACTGGCAGCCAAAGGAGGGGCGCCACAAATGCTTAGCAGCTGCAACAACCGAACAACGATAATCGGGAAGGCTAAGCTTTTAGCTCTCAGCTCCCAGCACTCAGCTCCTTTCGGTCCCCGAAGGTCGATTGTGCCCACGTCTCGCAGCTGTTTGCTAAAAACTGGGCAGCGAGTTCCCTCGAATCCTTTTCAATAACACTGCCTGCCTCAAGGTCCAAGTCAATAAAGCGCCTGCCCGCCAATGCCTCCACGGCCCATTATGCGTTGGGGACTGCATGTCCGCTTCCATAAGTTGAACACACTCGAACAATGCCCGTACATTTCTAATGGGGGCGTGTGCCTTGCGCATTTATTATTTATGTATTGATATTAAGTATACGCCCCGTTGCAATTAATTCATTTGCCTCGGGGAACAGAGGCGTCTTGGGTCCATTACGTGCACAATGGCCCCAAGCGTTGGTTGTCTTTAAGCCGCCTGCATTAGCCTCACTTCTTAAGCCATTCCTCTCTCTGCCAGACACAGTCGGAGCTTAAGTGTTCTTTCGATTAAAACATAGCCGGATAAAGCCACGAGAGCAGCACAACCAACTGATTAAGGCGGTGGATGAGAGCTTGGCCTCAGGAGAACTTAGCATCATGGAAGGAGCAGATAGAGATATATATAAAATCGCATGTTAATTTTTCCCAAATAATTATATCTTTAAAGTTGTAGAACAATTGCATTCATAAAGAGTTTATCCTTATAGTGGCTTCTAAATAAAAATCGATTTAACAGAGTTTATATAAAACAGAAACATTTACTCTATAAAGGCATCTACTGAAAGTGCACTTCTTCGGGAAAAACAAAAACATAAATTTGGCCAGCAAACCAATTTGTGGTATTCCCAGTTTAATTTCCCAACCTCAATATTGTCAATATCCATTAGCTTACTTAATGCTGGTGGTTGGCCGAGAAATAACAATTTTTATGAACTATTAATTCCATTGGAGTGGTGTCCATTGATCAAGAAGAGGGGGCAAAACACAGCATCCTGGCCAAATGCTTAGCAATTTCAAGACACAACGTCCTGTTTAACGACTTGGCCTGTTAATGAGACGCGACTTATCCGGGTGGCCAATAAAATGCCATTTGGCCATAAAAATTCTACTCTCGGGAAGGAAAGTTTTGCAGTCTGACATCGTCGCAGCTTAATGAGTTAATTGGCATTTGGATTTTGTGGCCGGCAAAGATTTGTTGACGATGCACAATCGTAAATGACTTTGAAAGCTTACCGACATTTCCCCGTTTCCAGGGGCTGCAAGAATTTAAAGCCGCAAATGTCATAAAAAAATAGCAGCGGCTAACCCCCAGCTTACATTGCGAGTGTTTCGCTGTCTATTAAATATTTCCGGATCGGCTGAGCCAAGTGCCAAGTGCCGGAGGGCCCAGATATCAGACGCGGATGCAGACGACGGACCCGGCCAGACACAAGGCAGGCTGTGCTGGGATGATACCTTCAAGTCGGCGACAATGACGTCGCCGAGTTGGGATATCTCTTCGGGAACCAACGCCCTCCTCGTTAGTTGTATCATTTGTACACTTTTTTCTCTCACAAATTTGAAACGGAAGTTTGCCAAGCATCTGTGTGGAATGTAGAAGGAACAGCCGTCGCATTGTGTCCTCCTGCCCATCGTCATCATCGTCGTCGTCCTCGTCATCATCGCTGACGGCGTAACAACGTCTATGGTTTTCGCTGTGACCCGGCAGCAAATGCACTTGAAAAGAAGGAAATGCCAGACAACATATAAAGTATATTAGTAAATAATGATTAAATTTATTCTTAAATACCAACCAATTTTTCACATGATTTACGCTTGCAGCTTGCAAATAAATTATAGTATTGAATCGGACATCGATAATCATAAATAATATTGCTTTCTATGAATCGATACTTTGCTAAGGCAAATTTCGAATAATCAAAGTTTAAAACTTCTTCGCTGATCAAGAATATAATGATCGGAAATCACTCTTTCACAGCTTAAAAGCTTCTTAGATTTGAAATGTATACAATTTTCAAAAACTCACACTTTTTTTGATGGAGTTTCTTCTTCCTTCCTTCATTATTTAAGATATTTTCTTTACATAATTTTTTTTACGTGCACTTAGTAACTCTCCGATTTCCCTGCGGAGGAATGTGCAACAACGGCATCGTCGGGATGAGAAGTTTACAATTCGTTTGCTTGCAAGCCGCGTGGAAATAAATAAATGCAAAAGGTTGGCTCGAACCCACACGGCTCAGTCGAGACTTTAAGTAGCTGCCATCCATCCATCCATCCACCTTTTCTCCCCTCTTGACCGAGGGCAAGGACTCGGAAACACTCGTGCTCGTGTGTGTGAGTTGAAGGGTCCTTGAAGCCAGCAAAGGCTTGACCGGACATCGTATGACTTACAAATCGAGTGACTTGGCAAATACTAATCCCAGGCCCAAGCCCTTATTTCGTTACGGCAAATACATTTTGAAATGCCGTCGGTCCGGGTAGTTAAGCCTTTAAATTACATTTCATAAACTAATATGCGACAAGCCCAAATGAGATTTGCCTTTGATGTATGACTATTATGCAGAATTCGCTTAAAGGCAAAAACGGCAGGCATATGCAAATCAGGACTCGTCATAGTCAATCAGCCCACTATGAAGTCTGGCTGACGAGCAAATAAGTCTATTAAACAAATCCTCGGGCGACGGCTGACAGACAGTTTCGAGTGCGAACTGGGATGCTCTTCTCCTGCCGAGCATGAAGAGGACAACGCCAGTGTCCAGCCACCAGGATGTGTGTGCTCTGCTCTCAGACAAGGATGTTGATGTTTGGCTGGTCAGCCCTTGGCCAACAAATACATCTTTGAAATCAGTTCAAGAACAGCAGAGGGCGATATAATAGCATTAACTGATTATTTCATATGCGAAAGAGTTCTTAACATTAACATTCAATTGGGATAAATAAGCGAAGTATTATAAACATTTACTTATTTTATATATTTCTAATTAACAAAATAGATGTCAAGTTATCTTTTTCTACCTAGGATAGTTATTCATATTATATGTTCCCATTTTAATTTCCGCCATGGTTAAACTATAGAGTCCTGTGTCCATTACCATTGCTCTCACCGCAACTGTCCTGGGCGTTTGACGCTGTGGATATGAGTAATCAAACCCATGCCACTGTGGTCAACCGCTGATGGACATTCCCTTGGTCTCCGTTTCCGTCACTGTTACTCGGACTTTTGTTTAATGGTCTCTATTTCCGCTCTTTATTCCCTCTACACCAGGTCACCGATTGGGGTGTGGAGCAGTGCCGCTCCCTGCACATTCACATCAAATCACCGCCCCGTCTGCGCGTGGATCCGGCAAGCGTGACCCTCCAGCGTGGTGACTCCCTGCGGGTGCGGTGTCTCTCCCCAGGGAACGACGACATCAAGCGGTATGCCCAGTTAGGCTATAGTTGGACCCGCAACGGGGTGCTCTTCCAGTCGGACGCTGCAACTGCCATGTGGGAGGACCTTTATCCCGATGGCAGCATCCTCAAGATCAACAACATCCAAAAGTCGGCAGAGTACGCGTGTCTGGTGTCCAACAGCGTGCGGCCAGTGTCCCGGAGC